TCTTCTCCACCAAGGTAACGAGCCGGTGGTGGCCACTGATGGGCTGGTGGCAACCGGTGATGGGCAGTAATGGTTGGTGACAGTGCAGGGTTGGTGACAAGCAGCGATGACCAATGGGTGTTGGTGACAACCACTAATGGGCCGGGGGTGACCAGTAACGGGCTGGTGACAACCAGAAATGAAGCTGGCGGCCCAGTAGGGACCATTGGTGACCTGGTGACAACCAATAATGACCAGTGATGCATCCGTGGTGGCCACTAATGGGCCAATGTCAACTAGCAGGGACCACTGATGGGCTGGGGACAACCAGTAATGACCAGTGACAACTAGTAATGACTGGTGACAACCAGTGTTGGGTTGTGGTGGCCCTTAATGGCAATAACGGGCTGGTGACAACTACCTGTGGGCTGGTGGCATCAGTAGGGACCACTGGTGACCTGGGGACAACCAATAATGACCAGTAATGGGTCAGTGGTGGCCACTAACAGGCTGATGGTGACCAGTAATGGTTAAGTGACAACCACAGATGGGCTGGTGGCAGCCAGGAATGACCGGTGACAACCAGTGTTGGGTTGTGGTGACCCATAATGACAATAATGGGCTGGTGACAATGAGTAACGGGCTGATGGTGACCAGTAATGACCAGTAACGGTCAAGTGCCACCCCCGGTGGCCGGCGGTGACCGGGGCCGCTCCGGTGTCCCCAGGCCAACTGCATCGACTCGACGGCGGCGCCCGAGGCCGTGTTCGCCGCCGAGGTCAAGAAGATGCAGCAGGAGAACATGAAGCCCCAGGAGCAGCTGACGCTGGAGCCCTACGAGCGCGACCACGCCGTGGTCGTGGGCGTCTACAGGTGACACGGGGACGGGGGCGGAGAGACCCTGGGGACACCTCGGAGACACCTTGGGGACACCTTGGGGATATGGTGGGATGGAGAAGATGGGTGTAAGGGACATGAGGACACCTTGGGGACGTGGTGGGACTGAGGAGATGGGTGTAAGGGACATGAGGACACCTTGGGGACATGGTGGGGCGGAGGAGATGGGTGTAAGGGACAGGGGGACACCTTGGGGACACCTTGGGGACATGGTGTGAGGAGATGAGTATAAGGGACATGGGGACACCTTGGGGACACCTTGGGGACATGGTGGGGTGGAGGAGATGGGTGTAAGGGACATGAGGACACCTTAGGGACACCTTGGGGACATGGTGGGTGTGAGGAGATGGGTGTAAGGGACATGAGGACACCTTAGGGACACCTTGGGGACATGGTGGGGCTGAGGAGATGGGTGTAAAGGACAGGGGGACACCTTGGGGACACCTTGGGGACGTGGTGGGATGGAGGAGATGGGTGTAAGGGACATGGGGACAC